ATTTGCTGTCATGTTAAACTTATATTAAAGTTTTTCTTCATTACCCATTTAAGCCGTCTCCAGCCATTATATTTGGAAAATATTAATTAATGTTTCTGCAAAAATTAAGTTGGGTTGAATTATATAATACTTTTCCCCATTTCAACCCACTGATATCAGGTTATATGTGTTATACTTTTTCATGGGACTTAAAACAATCAGTTTTTAGGTTAGTAATTTGTAAACTAATTTGACTTAATAACCATTTGCTGTGAGGATATTAGTATTGTGAACATTTTCCAAATGCTACACAGAAATTATGAGTGCATAGAAACACTTAAGCTAATAAAAGTAGTTATTATTTTAAAGGGATGTTGTTTCTTCCAATTAAACACACATAATTAGTGCGTTTTGTTACATGAACCTCCGAAACACATCAGTACATAGCTTAGTGACACAGATATAATAAATGTTTATGGTCATTTTTTGTGAAGCAAAATACATGTTGTTTTATCATACATATTTTAGGAATTGCTCCATTTCAAGTCTATAAATGCCACATTTTGTGAGGGTTATGCCTTCTGGTCCTCATAAAATCACCATGCTAAGGCCTTGTATGCATTTCAGCTATTCCACCTCCAGGTAAATTTTGCTTCTAACTGTGATTAAATCTTTAAACGTATAATAGTTTGTGAAAATTTGAAATATGAATTCAACAAAGATTATTACTTCATGCATGCGAGGAGAAGTCTTCTTGAATAAGTATGTAACATTGAATAACGTTTACACAAAAAATCAATAAATTTAATTGCGTTAAAAGAATAACAGTTCAATTATAAAAAATCATAAATGCGTTAAATTTCACTATGACAGATGACGAGAACTGGAGAGTTTTCGAAACTATTTAGTTGGTTAACACTATTGATATGTTATTAGTGGGGTAACGTTCCATCGTCTTACTTCAATCTGATATATGATTATTTAGTGGATTGGCATTACTAAAACTCTGCTTACATCTGATACGTTACTACTTAGTAGGATAACATTATTGTTGTTCTGCTTAAATCTGATATTTACTACTTAATAGGGTAACGTTCTATCGTTCTGCTTACATTTTATGTGTTAATTGGTGTGCTTCTCAAACATGTGATGTTTTATTTCCAAATGCTCTTAAATTTTACCATTTCGATTTAGCTAAAAGTTTTGCAAAAAATAACGATTAAGATTTTTTAGTGATAAAACTAGTTTCTATTGAAAAAATAATAACCAGGACAATTGTTGTAAAGACAAGTTGTACTAAATATTAAGTATCTGAAAAATTCAGACTTCTACAATTATAAAATAAACAGCAATCTATACGAATAAATTTAAGTGAACCTCGCAAACATATGAGAAATGACATGGAAACGAATGTGTTTAATATTTTAATAACAAAGCAATAAACAATCAACGCAATACACAGATAGAAATATAAAACATAAAAACAAAACTTAGCGTTAGTCAACCTTAAATACATATGTAAGAAAGTTATTTGGCCATTTCGTACAACAAAGACAAGAAAAATAATATTTACATTCAATGTCATTCTCAAAAGAAGCTGTATTCGTCCCTAACTTTAAAGCTATATACAATTTTCGCAAAAGTAAAGAATAAGAGGACATTTCTGTGACTATGCGAAGCTCCGTACATTTTCTAACACATAAACCCTTACTTGAATAACTTAGTTAATCCTTGTTAGTCAATACCTGCAAAATCTCAAACTAATTGACTGTAAACAAAAACAACAACAATGATAAATAAATACACGTTAACTGTAAACTCATTACAACTTGTTGCTAAAATTTATCAATCGCCCATGGATAAAATGGCCAGTCTGTAAATTGGATACATAAAGCTAGGTAATAAAACGTCTCAGAACGTGGTAATAAAACGTCTCAGAACACCTGCTATAAGTTAACTCATTTGTGAAAACCTCTAAAACCCATCAAACCATACCCATTGGACACTTGCGATTTTCACTGTGAGGTGACAACTCGAAATGCTCAATTTTTATGTGATTGAGCTCTTCCAACTTATTAGAATAATTTTACAAAGATATTAGTTTCAAGCAAACATACAAGAATATTAGTTTTAGCGGTCGAACTTTGCTCTGGTAAACACATTTCCGATTTTTAAGAAACTAAACGTTCATATTTTTGTAATTCAATTTTTACTATATTTACGTTTTAATTGACATCTCGTAAATATACTGTGTTCGCAGAAAGTCAAGTGATAACTAGATGTCACCAATAACTGAACGAATACAGAAAATATTTCATTTTCGATGCATCACCGAGAATTATAAAAGAAGGGTATGTACAAAAAATAATAGTTTAATTGATTATTAAATAAAAATTGTTAACTTTTTGAGAGTAAAATCTGCCAATACCTTTCCATTAAATTAAACTTAAAAATCACTAAAATTAACAGGATTAAATTTTCTGACATAAAGTACTTTTCTTCTCACAGTTTACACTTCGATATAAGTGCAAATTTATTTACAGTTGAACGAAACTTTATCCTGGCTGAGCCCGAATTACCAAGCAATATTTATGTTTGTTAAGCTTTTGTAATAAAAAAAATCAGATCTCAAAAACTTAGTAATTCATTTTCAGAGTTTTTGCGAAAGCTACAAAGAAAAAAAAGACTATCTGCGCATAACCGTCCCTAATTTTGAACTGATAGACTAGAGGGAAAACAATTAGTCAACAGCACCCACCGTCAGTTCTTGGGCTACTCTCTCTTGTCTGACTGAATAGTGGGATCTGACCTTCACTTTTTAGCTCACCCACGGCCCAAGAGTGCGGAGCGAATTTTTGCGGCAACGGAACGCGAACCTTGAATCATTATATTCACACGCTCGGCCCAAAATATAGTAGAATACTTTGTACTGTATAATAAACGTAAACCTGAGTAAAATCAGATTCATTGAGAACTGATCGCTGCTGCATATACATATTACAATAAATAATAATATCATGTCTTTATTTTATAACGAACAACTTAAATTGTTTGGTCAATAAAAAACATATTTTTATCTGACTTACAATCGCGATACTTGAGCAGTGTTTGTTAACGGTGATCGAAATTATTTAAAGAAAATCAAAATTCAGTTTCTTTTATAAACAAATATTTCTAATAAATTTCATTTTCGCGGGGTATTTCATTAACAGTCCTCAGTTCTACAGTGAATCTCTTGGAAGTAATAAATGTATTCTTGCCGTTGCTCTGACATACCTAAGAAATCCATTTCGTTGTAAGTTTATCAAACATTGGACTACTTGTGTCAAACGTCTGCCAAAATTCGAGTCTTAAAACATTTATATTCTACTCTCTATTCAGTAATGCTATCTACGTTCCTATAATTTCAATGTACAGTTTGAAAAAGAACATGAAAATTTTCCACACAGAAGTGATTCTTAATTGTTTTGTGACACACTTGGGATAATGCAGCTAGATTTTCCTGTTTAAAAAGGAATGTTTTTATGTCTAATATAAATAAATAAAGTGTTAGGCTTAACGCATAATCTATAACAGATGATATATATTCGTATGGTCTGGAAATTAACGAAATAACATAATTTCCCTTCAAGCTGTGGCTACCATGATTTCACATTTTACTGATTTTATTCTTTAAAACACACAGCTGAATAGCATTACCTTTAAAAAAAACGCATTTAAAAGTAAAACGTTACACTAATGACGTCAACTTAAAGCGATATATTCATTTCAATTAAAGCTTCTGCCTTCATCTTACATGCATAAAGAAGCAGAGACATTTGACATGTTATACCGTTTATGATAGAACTGCTTATAACCTACAGTTTTAAGAAACACGGATGTTACATATTAACAAAAGGATATATACGCATATAATCTTATATAGTCTTGAAATATTTAAGATTCTCGTGATAAAAAATATCTATCTTTAATACTGTATAACAGAGAGTTGAATGAAAAATCTTGACGTCAATAAGAAAAACTTAAGTTTTTGTAAAAATCAAATAACTCATCTGCACGATGATTTAAGATTCATTAATTACCTGTTACTGTTCGTAAAAGTATCTTGACGAAAACATAGATTTATAGTTTACGCTTGAAATGAGAATATGTATACTTGTTAACTGATTAAAAATATTATACATTCGAATTATTTTATACATGTCATTAATATTACGAATAAATATTCCGTTATGTACTTTTAAAATCTAATCTCTTTAATATGTTTATTTAAAAAGAAACGAAAAGTACCTCAAGTTCTACAGTTTCGCTCTTACAATTAAAACACTAAAAAGTTATTTCACACACTTTTGACTCTGTTTTTCAACCTTCCACTCTTTAGAAGTTCTTAAACGTTTTCTATAACAGACAATAAATGAGCTAAAGAGTGAAAAATCGCTTACGACATAACAATCGTTATGACAAATTTAGAAAAAGGAGATGTACTTTAAAAGACATTCTTATGAAATCTGAACCCAGCTAATCAATACTAAAACATTCCACTTCAGTATTATCATACATGTATTTTATAACCATTTATTTGAGTGAATGAATAATATAAATTACAAAGGTATAAATAAACAGCGAAGAAAAGGATGACTTGAGCTTAAATACAAAAATCCTTTGAATTTTTTCAAGCAACAGCAACTATTTCAATATTTGTTTTTCTTTAAAACTGGCAAATCATAAGATAATGAAGATACAGTACCATCCGCTGATCGTTGTTTAAGGCAAAGAAATGCTGACAAAAGGGAGGACACTACCAGGATAGCCAATAATACTACTAATGAAGCAGCAAAGCCCGGTGTTGACATACAGATGACACCACTGTCTTTTATATCATGGATATCATGAACGGGTGTTGAATCATTGGTTTTGAGTGAGAAAGCTAAGTCTCCAACCGAAACTACTCGAATAACTCTGTTCAATCCAATCTCGGTCATTTCTTCCAAAGAGGTACCAGAGGTTCCTTTACTGTTGTCACTAAAGCTGACGTCACGTTCCTCTCGAGGTCTGCCGGCAGGAACGTAACCAGGATGAGGCCCTTGGATACCTTCTCGACTAATAGTGTGATCAACTGGATAAGCACATTGCTCAGGACACTGATATCTACAGATCTGTATAGTACACTGGAAGTGTACCTCCATAGAGTCTGGAAATTTAAAGGCCTGGAAATGCGCGTAGGATAGCACGGATGCACTGGAACCAAAATTCTTAATTTTGGTGAACCTGCTCATTAGCTTAGATCTAACGATACAGCCTCTACCATCAACAAGCTCAATAGGCGCTCGCTTTCCATCGTGGGCAATACAGTTTCTAACCAGCATATCGAATCTATTCTCATCATCCTTTATAGCTAACACCATGGTCATGGTCTGACCAATCTTGACGATTCCAGCTGCTTCGCTAGCCCAAGGTCCCTTGCCTACCTGAATCTGCATCCAACACCCTACGTTGTCTCCAGCAAAGTCAGCTCGCACTACATCTAACATGTCCACAGGGAAAGGTCGGAAAGTAACAGCCTTTTCGTACTGATCATGCCAAGTGCAGCGTAGTTTTCGAGCTTGATCCCACACCTCTTGCACCTGGGGATCATACTGGACTATGATAGTGTTCTCGAAAAACGTGCCACTACCACTGTTTCCACCATAGCCATAAAGACCATTCTGTGTGTTTCCTGTAGTGCCACAACTGTTAATAGAAATGTCGAAGTAGACACTCTTTCGACCTGATCCTGCGGGTAAATGGACACAGTTACCGTAGTTATAGTGACCTTTACTAAAAATAATACCGTGAAAAGCTTTATCAAATTCAACTGAGACTTTCATCAAGTTTTTCTCGCATTTAACATCCAAGTGAACAATCACAGGCATCTCGGGCTGAGGTAACGGCCAAGTGTCAGATCCGGGGAGGTTCGGGAAACCTGGAAAATTGTTATTCTTGGAGCCTAGTCTAGAAGTGTAAACTGACTGAGGAGACCCATAGCTACCTAACTCATCCTTGGGAGAAAGATGTTCTGCAGCATACCCTCCTGGTCTTCCTTTTTTCGCTTTCTGGGGTAGAGCAGGAAAAATAAGAGAGCCTTGAAGACTGGGTAGTGGTAAAGGGACAGGGATGGATGGACTCTCATGGTGAGTTAGTAATGGACCAAATCCTGAGTGAGGAGGTGGAGGTGGGGGAGGCTGATATTGGTTTCGGGATGGATAGGCCTTTTCTTCCAAGGAATCCTGGCTCTCTGCTGTATCTATTTCACTATTGGACATTTTATCTAAGATTTGGTCCGAGCTTCCTTTCTCAATATTTTCTTGTGCTTCTTCTGCTGTACAAGTCACCTGGAATACGAAATAAATTGTTACAGCTAAAAACACACACACACACACACGAAACGCTGGGCCTTTTAGAATAACAAAACGTAATTATAGTTAGTAGATAATAAATAATTATGGAGTAATAATAATAATAAGGGAATACCGAAAATAAAATAAAACTTTCAAAATATGAGATGTTTATTGTGTTTTACTCAGGTTGGGTGTGAAGATTTTGAATGTATATAAATAGTGTTACAATGTATGCCAACCTTTCTGGATATATAATAATATATTTCGGCTTTCTATTTCTCGTTATTCACATACATAAATGTATATACTGATTGACATTATATATCATAATAATTGCACACAGAAGAGTAGATTATAGTTACAACTATATGTACATTTATGCATACTTGATGGTGTTTCCAGCCAATGTTCTTTCAAACTAGGCAAGTATAAGACAAAGCCCGGCATGGCCAGGTGGTGGGGACACTCGACTCGCAATCTGCGCGACGAGGGTTCGAATCCCCGTCACACCGAAACATGCTCACCCGGTGTCCGAACTAGGACGCTAGTCCTACTCCCGGATACTCACCTCCAACAGAATTTGGAGGTGTGAGAAACACCATACGAAACTACTAGTATAAGACATACATGTATCGTGATCCGAAATAAACTTCCCAATACTAAATACTATATCATAGTGGTATGAATAAACATCACAATAGCTAAACATACTAAAGTGATGAGCATCATTATTCTGGTAGCTAAATCTGAGCTCATTTAATTTTGGATGTGTAAGAGTATTTTGCATTAGAAAACAAGCCATGTTTTTCCAGTGTGGGGTCAACACTAATTACAAAATTAGTCCCTTTTGCCAGTTCTTCTGCACTGGCAAAATTACATTTTATTGAATTTTTAATGTGGGTAATTCTATAATCACAATTATATTTGGGTTTGAAGGTACTGGTGGTTTGATCTTTAGTAAAATAAAAGGCTTTTTTTTAAAATTTTATTTTGCTTTGAGAGACAATCGTTTCGTTAAATAATGACAATTCATAACAGCAATTCGTCACTCACGTTAAAGAGCAACGTCCTGTATTGACCAAATATAATTTTTCAGGTCAGGGTTAACCGCCAAAAGAACACTGCATGCGTTATTTTCCGCCATCATTTCGTCAAGTTCATCACGAATAGTGGCACATAAAGATTGGAGAGTCTGGTTCTGCCGACGGCAGTTTTAGTTTTTGCGCAAACAAAAACAAACGACACAGCAATCGCTCTGATTCTCGTCATCCCATCCGGTTCTGAGCATGCGTAATCCTTCCTATCAAAAAAATTTAGTTCCTCCCTATACAGGTTCCTTAAGGATGAAGCTGGTAGTGATAGTCGTTGCCTAGGGCAATCTATTCGCTACCCATCAAGGCACGTGCAGTGTTATATCTTTCGATCCGTTACCTATTTACTAAAAGAGACCACGGAAAAAGATGGGAGAGTAAAAAAAAAGAAGGGAAGCTGACGGAAAGATTCACCTTTGAAATATATAGTTTTCTTTTACTGCTGCTAGGCCTGCCAAGATTTTACGAGCCAGAGGAAATCCCCTATGGCGGCATTGTTACACACTTTCCATTCAAATCGGGAAGTGAAGTCTATTACAGGGTAACCCGGATGTATAAAAACTTCGTCTTAAAGCATTAATTAGGAATTTCAATTAAATAAACTTACTTTAAGAAGAGTTGAATGCTGCCATTTATAGAAACACGCAGATATATATTAAGTAGTTAACATTTTTCAAAGGACATTCGAAATCACTAAAGACTGAAAATTATCTTAGTGCCAACAGCATTATTCATTATAAAGCTAAAGTCAAGCTCAAATGACTGCCAGCTTTTTTGTGTGTGTGATATATAAGGCTGAATATATTATTTACTTGATACAGTTGTAAAGAAAATGTAAATCAGTTTTCCAGAGTTCAAAAAAATTCTAGCTGAACGAGATTCCTCAAAATATTAGTTAGTTTACATAAATTAAAAAACGTATTTTGCTCACAAGAAAAACGTTGTTTTTGAATGCAATCAATATATGTGCCAAAATTAAAGTTATCGGTTAATACGTCAGATGTTAAATATTCATTTTGCATAATTTATTTTAATCTACAGCGGGTTACTGTGAAAGGGATACATCCGTCGAAAAGTATATGAGATCTCATCGAAACAATATTCATGTGAAGCGAATGAGAAAATGTATTAAACGAAACACATCAAAAAATAAATCTAAAAATCCTTGTCCAGATAATGAAGAGAAAGTAGTTAGTCATGTACAGAAAAAACAACAAACAGACCCGAAAGAGCCATCTTTATCGATTATTATTTAATTAAACTTTGATTAATTACTGCGTTTTATTCTTTTTACCAGGTTAATTTTTGTCTTAGTGCTTCGTCATACAACAAAAACTCAGTAAAAAGAATATTCAAACATTACTAGTGAAATACTTTGGCTTATGAGTATATATATTATCATCAAAGTTACGATAATATCAAAACCAAAATACGTTAATCTGACAATGGAATAATTCCCCCGGTGGGTCAGCGGTAAGTTTCTGGACTAAAATCCAGAGTTAGATTCCCCTCAGTGGACACAATGGATAGCCCAACGTGATTTTGCTTTAAAAACAAACAACAAAGCATAGAATATGAAACACACCAGAGAGAGAGAAACAAAATATAAAAAAAGTTTGCTACATTTAATTGATAACGCACTTACCACTCGGTAGCTCAGCTGTAAGTCTGAAGGCTTATAAGGCTAAAAATCAGGTTTTGATACCCACATTGTGCAGAGCACAGACATCCCATTGTGTAGCTTTGTGTTTAACAATACACAACCAAATGATAGCGTACGTAGATGGAATAATAGATAATAGTTGAATTAATACAGTAAATGGAGACAGAAATGTTTAACAGTCTATTGTTTTAAATCTACTAACACAGGGCGTATAAAATTGAGTTATCTGATAAAATAATAATAATAAAACATGCACGTTTTCTTAGATATATTAGAACACGCATAGGGATATTTCAAACTAAAGGATTTAATATCACATTGTCCAACTATATCTGCGTGCCGAGTTACAGATTTTTTAGATTATTTGTGATATTTCAAACAAGAGTTTTGTGGATTTCCTACGTAACCAATAACAGTGCACACAAGGATTTTACGAGATTTACAGCCTATCAATGCACGCGCTTAAATAATAAAGCAAACTAACCCAGGTTTTAAGATATCTTAGAACGGATTCAAATCTGCTTTGTTTTGGCATCCGCTTCCATATTGTTTTGTTTTTTTTGTATTGTGACAATTCTTAAGACTTTCCACTTTAGATTATTAAAATCAACCGTTTAAGGACTCAGTCTTTTGAGCAATATTCTATCTGAACGTTGTTTAATTCCTTTTCTGTTTGCGTCCTTCTCTGTACGAGTGCGCTCATCTAAGGACTGGTAAAACTAGTCATTTAAGGCTCCATTTGGTTGTATATGTAAAGTTCTATATGGACATAATTTAATCACTTCTCTAATTGGTGTTCTTTTTGAGCAGTAATGTGTGTAAAAGCTTTCTTTCACTCCTGTACTTTGGTTTCATTTTATTGTGTTACGAATAGTCATATTTTACTGTTAACACCTCAAGAAATTATTGTAATTCTCAAGTTTGTTTCAACAAGTTTCTCATAACCGAAACTGAACCCCCAGAAAATGGTTAATAATTAGTTTTTAGACATCTTTTCTCACGCTAGAGGAAATACAGCAGTTAAAGAAATAAACTAAAGCGAAATAAACATTTTCACAAGTTGCTAGGTCTTTACCGCTGTTTTATTGTTAATAAGTGGATTTTACTGACCCAAAAAACGAAGCAGAATAGAAAAATTATTAAGTTCAAACGAAAACTTTCACAATTACTTTGATATCTATATTGCATTTTTACTTGCTAGTTCTTAAATATTTTAAACTGCCTCAACTCGAAAACAATTAAGCTAAGTTTAAAAAGTTCCCATTAGACTAATCCTTAAATCATTACTTTTTACCAATGCTCAGAGATTTTACATGTTCAAAAGTAATACTGAATGAAGAAATGATTGAACTATTTTACAACCAGTTGGATCCATAAAGGACGAATTTTGCCAGTCTTCAGAGGAATTTATTCCTCCCAAGGAGGAAATCAAATATCTATTTTCATAATTCTTCGCTGGATTCTTAGAAAGTTACATTTTTAGTTTTCTAGATGATGTTCTCACTCAAAGGAGGCCACCAAATAAAAAAAGGATTGAACTTCGTCCAGACAGGATTTTTCACACTGGTTAAATCCTTAAAAGTACTACTTACTAGTCCTTAGAAAATTATACTTGCTTAAAAAGAAAACCAAGTAGGAAACATATTTAACAATGTTTAACTACTTTTTTTTTGTAAACCGACTAGGTCTTTAAAGTATTATCTGCTAGCCATCAGAGAATTTTCCTAGTTTATATATATAACGCTAAACTGGAAAATTATTAAACCAAACAGAATTTCTTACATCCTATTGAACCCTTAAAGGATTATTAATTTTCTAGTCCTCAGAGGATAGTATCGACCAAAGGATGTTTTTTTTTAGAATTTTCACGCAAAGCTACTCAAAGGTTTTCTGCGTATAGCTATCCCTAATTTTAAAGTGATGGACTAGCGAGAAAGCAGCCAATGAATAACATCCACCGACAGCGGAACACATGATTGTTTGTTTGTTTGTAATTAAGCACAAAGCTACACAATGGACTATCTGTGCTTTGCCCACCACGGGTATCGAAACCCGGATTCTAGCGTTGTAAGTCCGCAGACATACCGCTGTGCCACTGGGGGGCGGGGAAACATGAACCCTCGGATTGACAGGCATTATTAAACATATAATCCAGTGCTGATTCATCCTGTAGCACATATTATATGTATTTACATAAATAAACCATTTTCAATGCAAAATAATATATATATATACATAGA